TAGGAAAAAAACAACAGACAATATAGTAAGAACACGACCAGTTGTATCAAAAAATACTGAAATAACAAAAAAAAAGGCTAGTGATCAGGGCTACAAGTGGCAAGGATTTAATTTGCGACGCAAAGGTCCCTCGGGAACCAAGGCTTGATAGGTATAATAGCAGAAACTCATAAGGGGTTGAAACGTGTAACTCTCATATGTTTGCTTTGTCCGATGCTCGTGATTATTCATTTTGAAAAGTACCATATTTGGAACGAGAAGAAGAGATAACTGACCAATCAAACTTTGTAAACAACGTGACGTAATTTTGCTTTACGTTCCCGCGCCCGCTTAAAAAAATGGTCGACAAACGGGGGAAAAACTCCCGAAAGCCGAGAAAGCTTTCAAAGGTTGAAACCAGGAATATTACCGAACTACTGAGCAGGATATTATTGCCTTACCACCCGCGCCAAACGTAACATTATGAAACCCATTGACGTCCTCGCAACTTCTTGAAGTTGTCGCTTCAAAAAACGATGCCTCGTTGACCCTCTGCACAGTAAACTTATACATCAAATAGGCTGTTAAAATTCTTATGTTAAAAGTCTAGAATAAACAGTGAAAAACATTTTCGAATAAAATTAAGTAGCTTCTTATCGAAAAGTGTCCAAAACCTGAACCTGACATCTTCAAATGATACTTAATTAAACTTGGATGTTGTAGTCACGATCGTGTTTTGAGCTAATTTTATGAATGAACAAACTCAAAACAATAGACAGAGAAGCCGTTTCTTGAAAATTTTTATTCAAAATCCAAAAAGTTAATCCTTTAAGCAATTCACAAAACACTATCTGGATCGAAGATCCGTTCACGCAAGTGAAATCGGCTAAGCATATGGCAAAATTCAACACGAAATCCATCTCAAATCAGGGCACATTTTGTAATTTTTCTTTAGCGCCGAAGAGAAAAAATTATAAAACGTCTATGAAACATTTAAAAATACAAAAATTCCCTTTCAAAAACGTAATTGTCTAGGCCATAGAGTGCAAAATGTACCTGAAAAACTTCACTGCCTTGGTTGCATTTCACAACAGACCATGCGCTCCGTCGTGAAGAAAACAAGGTTGAATTCCTCGAAGGACGATTTCTTGATGAAAAGCTTCCCTTCCTCCACAAAAAGAAAACTGAGCAATCTTTTGATCTTTCTCTTTCCATTTTTTGTCTTTTAACGATGTATTTTAAATCTTGAAATGCAGAACTCTTGTCTTAAAACATCTGCATGGCGATCGCGCGGCAGCCATTTGTTGAAAATGGATTTCTGTCACTAAGGTTTCCAAATATGGTAAAAGTGAATATTCACGAGCATTGAACGCGAGTTACACGTTTCAACCCCTTATGAGTTTCTGATAATAGCCAAATGCAGAATGTAAACACATAAATTACACAACGTTTTGATAACTAAACTTTGCCACAAATGTTTGACCAAGGGAAAAAGAAAAAAAAATTTAAAATATCGGTATGGCTTGTAAAAGGTGTCTGTTTCGGAGGTACTCTGGCGAAAAATAATCGGCTTTCGCATTAAATGAACTGAACACGTTGTTTTTAGGGTAAATTTCAATAAAACGTTTAGTGGTAATTTGGTTTTCTCATTGGTTACTCTTTTCTTAGTACTTATCTTTCTTACAAATACTGAACTGGCGGCACGAAAATCAAACGGATAGGGCTTCTGTTCACCGTTCATAAGAACGGTGATTTCGGTGAGATTTCTGTAATGGGGCGAAGCTGTGCCGCGCTGATCCGTGTGAACATGAGGTATTCGGACCTTAATGGAAGTGAATAAGAAGGTGGGAAAGAAGACTGGAACCCACTGACACGGAAGTAAATATTTTAGGAGTGAGGACTGGAATTTAGGGATCAAACCCTCTCGGCCATCCGCTCCGGCGGGACGATGTTCAGCGTCAACATACCATGGATGCATTGATTCTCTGTAACACTGAATACAGACCAGTGATCATGCTTTAAAAAAACGTACTGCAGCACGCGTTTTTATTTCTTTAAATAACTTGCTCCTTGAACCCTGACAAGAGGAGGAAACGTTTGGTGTAAAATAGGCACTTTATTCACATTTCCGAGCGTTTCCCATCCCCAGTGACCTATATACCAGTCACAGACGATAATATTGCGAAATCATATTTTAAAGGTAGTTTTATTCGCTGGATTCTCTAAAATAGTTTATTTTACTGACACATGTATTTTACAAGCCCTATCAAGTAGACGTTAGAATGTAAATCCACAAATTAAGGTGTAAACGACAACTAGACTTCATTGAAGATACTTTTCCTTTTTTCCTTACCACATAAGAAGTAGTAATTCCAGAAAGTTGAAAAAAGAACTTGGATACTGTGAATCTATAATGCATAATAGCTAATGTGATCAACAAGCCCCAGGCAAACCTTATAATTGTTATTACCTAGCCTATTTACATAATTTATACTTTCTAGTAAGCATGAATGTTATATAAATTGATCAAAACCGTAGAAATTTATATAAAAAAACTTATTATATGAAACTATAACATTACAACTGATAGGTTAACATGAATATATGCAAAGTGACTTTTAAACCAAGAATATTTGAAATCTAACCTCTTGTTTCAAATAAAACAGGCTTCCTTTAGAAAAGACAAGTTGTTAAAAATAGATATATGTATTCTTTGTTTTAGTTTACTCTTACGACGGAGCCTGTTTTAAGAAAAGGGAACACTATTTTAAGCCTATATATCTCAGGGAATTTCTCTGTATGTCTTGGTTAAAGCAAGGTAGTGCAAAACCAAGGTAGACCGCATATAACAGCTGCTGTTGTTTATTCCATACATTGGTTTCAGCAGTTTATTTTCTAGCAGTGTTAAAGAGGCTGAAGAGGGGACTGTTTCCTGTTAGTACGTTTTTATCCAAAGTGTCACTGGACAGCAGCCTAAGCCGCGGAATGCTTCAGTATAGCCGGCAGCCCCCTTAAATAGATCTCCAACATATATTAAGGAAGGCGAGCAGGAATCCCAGACTAGAATGTAAAAGATGACTGTGGGAAGTATACTTGTAAAATAACTTTTCTAGAGCATTCTTATGTAAGTATCTGAGTCGTTAAGTTAGTTAACGGTATTTTCCAAGGATTTATACATTGATTCAACAGGGCTACAGTGATGTGTAATACCACTACTTTATTTATTTGCAGTCTTTTTATCGAACAAACGTTAGTAATAGAGAGGAGAAGTGTGACGTCACGTTACCATAATCGCAAAATATTTGGATCACAAGAAAAGCGAGCTTAGGCAACAACGCCAGCGACAGCAACGAGAACGGCTAAAAAGTAATAAGTTTAGTATAGGTAATCACATGATTTCGAGTGCAATTTGGAATAAATAAGCACGAGTAAATTTTTCGAAGACCAACAAAAGTGCACGAGCCGGTAGGGCGTGCGTTTTTACTTCATTCAACTGACTGGCTGAAACAGAATGCTACCTTTGTCAAATTCAAACTGTTTCAAGACCAACGCTTTCAAAATCATTCACAATAATTCACATGGTCACCAGCCTGTTAAAAATGACTCGATTTACAATAATCAGTAAAAGTAAGTTTTTTTTTTTAATTCATCCTCGATTTTGAGAGCTCGGCGTTTACAAGAAGTATTCTGCCGTTTTGAAATCAGGAGAACGCTTCGAGCAGCCAAAGATAAAAGGCACTTGCTGAGTTGTTTAACGACTGTTCGTCATCGTCTGTTCCTGAGACCCCATCACAGCTGGATTCATAGAGAAATTTTTGAAATTTACAACCCAAAAATGTAGGAGGCAATTTGTGTTTTTTCGACGCTGCCATCGATGGGGGAGTGGAGACACAGTTGTTGTGATGTTGGAAACTGCCAGTATTAATTAAATATAATGTTTGCGTTTTCTCAGCGCTGAGGTATTCATTATTTCATTTGGCCTTGGCCTATTGTAGGAGAGAGTCGTCGTCGCTCTTCTTCGTCGGCTTCATCGTAGTCGTTCTGTGGCCTGTGACTTTAGCGATATATTCAAACTTATTTGAACTTACAATCTTTGATTTCTTCAGTTTGCTGACTGTTGTTTTTCTTGCACTATGATTCCCAAACTTTTTTCTCACTTTCTTTAAGGCTAGTACCAGCTACGGATACTTTCATTGTGTTAGTTATGGTATTTTCGCCCATTGGTTTAGTTTGAATCAGATGTTTAAGTTTTCGGTTTCGTTTGCTACTGAGGTAGAAAAAAACAGACCATCGCATGGCCAGTGTTTTAACAGAGGTCTTCGCTCGACAAAAGACTTAAATAGAGCAACCGGACACCTTTCTCCTCCAACAAAAAACGTACGTGACTTGAAATCCCTGTTGTTGTCATGGAAAACGTGTATCCTTATTCATTTAAATGCCTGAAAAGTGTAGCTGTCATGGCTTGCGTGTGGTTGCCACCGCTTTTGCTCTTTATTTTTTATCTTTTAATAGCGTAGTCTGTTATAAGCAGCTTGTTTAGTTCCTCTGGCTCATTTTCCTCGCTTTTGTTGACAGTATTTTTCTCTTAGCACCACATTTTCAATACATTTAGCCGGAAAGACGTCACTTTTTACTGTGTTCGGGTTTTTGGAATGTTTTCTATTGTCGTTTTAATGCGTACAAAATCAAATCGTTGTTCAGAAAACCATGTCCATTTTCTTAAGTTTTGTTGTCAAAACAGCTAAAATCTGATTGGTTCTTGGTCGTTTCTTTTGTGTTTTCAGCCAGTCAGAAACCATTTGTAATTTGCACTCGTGTTACAAGTTTTGCACTCGCGTTACAAGTTTGCACTCCTTTCTCAGCCAATCAGAATTGAGTAATTTTTTCGTGTATATTATTATATTAGTAAAACAACAACTTTGCACGTGCATCACGCTTTTTTGCACATTTTTTTGCCATCGTTGCACGACTGCGACATGAAGCTTCCTAATTTCACGCACCCGCTTTACGGAGTAGGTGAACACAACCCAAGAAGTTTCCTTTACTTTTTCTAAACTCAGGTACGGCCCCTTCGGATTAAACCTTAGAAAATTTCGCCAACATTTGACAAAGTAAATGAAATGAATAAAATCGGTGAAGTTTGAAACAGTGCTAAACTAAATTTACTTTTAAGTGAATTTTCGGTTTGTTGTCATCCAAAAATTTTGCTATCATGGCAACGTGACGCAACGACTTCTCCTCTCTATAGAAGTAAGCATTGATCCACTATTTTTCCGAAAAAACGAAATCAATGTATACTTCTTAGCGGACTTCAAATCACGGTAAACGTACAATAGAAATATTACATAAGGTACATTAACGGGCCTCAAGAGGAATAACAGCAGCATTTTGTCTTTGCCGACATTTGAATAATTCCAGGATAGCTTTTTTAAACTCTGGCATTCTGATTGTGTAAACGATGACATTGACAAACGAGTTTGCACAGAATAGAGCCCCTAAAGAATTTCGCAAACGCATAGATTTTAAGTGCGATAAAGCAGCTATAACGTATGGTAGCCACATCAGTAACGATACAATAGTCATGATGAATAAAGTTATAGTGAGTTTTCTTTGTCTATTGGATGGACCGTGTTGCTGAGGCTTCGTCCTACGAAGAAAATGAAAAACAATGGAGGAGTAAGAAACACAGATAACAAATAGACACAAACAGCTGTATGACTCCCACACGGGAAAATAATACCTCTGCAATTCATTCCAAAATGCTAAAAATAACGAAAGTGTAACTGATACCATGGCAGGTAAAACCCAGGTTGCGGAAATTGTTACCCAGTAGACATTTTCTGTTATGAAACGATGCCTGAATGGACGGAAAGTCGCATGCAACCGATCTAAAGAAATTACTGCAATGCTTGTTAGAGATGTGAGAGGAAGCCAATCGAAAAGAGAGGTTATTATCATTCTCTTTTTCAGGGTTAAGAACATACTCACAATGTCACATTTAAGGCGTTCATGTAGCTCAATTAATACAAAGAAAAATGATATTACTCCAACGAACATGTCAGCAACGGTCAAGTTTATAACCAAATACATGGCACGAGTGCGAAGATTACTGTTCTTCATAAAAAGAATGATTGATAGGAAGTTCACCATCACTATAGCAACAGACGCGGTAAGGAATACAGCAAACCAAGTGATGCACTCTGATGAAGAAGACATTTTGGATTCTTTTCTTTTCGCTTCAAACTTTAAAAGGTCCCCAATTTCTCTCTGTTGCTCGACGTCTTCCTTTGGAATGAATTTGAACAAAGTTAAGTTGGTTCGAGAAGGGGAACAAATAAGAGTGAGATCAATTCCTTAAAGATCGAGAATGGAAAGAAACATTTACAGAAATTCCTCGAAATAACGCTCACCTCAACTTTAATTCCTTCAAATGCCGTCACAAAAGCTGAATTGACAAAACTGTTTTCACCTATGGAAGACATTAAAAGTAGCCCTTGAGGGGAGAGTAGAATGAATTGGCTAGCTAAAAGATAAGACAAAGAGTCTTTGAATTTAACCTGAAAATTTAAGTAATTAACGTCGGCGCTCGTTTACTTAGTATAAGTAATAACTGATCACGTAGTCGCTAGTGTCACAGGATGCAGTAGTTTCACGAAAATGACCACCATTAAACTCTTCTAAGACCATCAAATATTCGGAGTCATTCCGTAATTTTAATTTTTGGAGGCAATTTTAATAAAACTAGTTGTTGTACTTAATTCAAAAGTTTCCCGACTTCTAGTCTTTCATAGCTCGAAATTATATTTTATAGGACGCAACTTTGCAGTGATCCGGAAGGGAAACAATTTGTTTTCTGTAATGGAGAATGAAAGCGGAAGTAAATGGAACTTGCATTATTACGTCATGGCTCAGTGATTTTAACAGGGTTCTTACAGAGTCTTTAATTTTTTGAAAAATTTTGAATTTTGCAAAGCAATTTTCCAGACCTTCAGAAAGTGTGGAATGTTTTTCAAAGCTACAACAATTGCTTAATAAGTGAATTTTTTTCCCGTCATCAAAATCGCCTATTTGGTAACCTTGAGTCTGGAAATATAAGTTATTGTTTTGGAAAAAAGGGTGGAAAAAGTCTTGAATTTTGGATCCAAAAATCTGTACTAGCCCTGTTTTAAGTCCCAGGCGAGTTAGCGCTTATTCTTTTGAGAACATGATTAGCTGGTCTAGATCGCGCAAAATTAAGCGTTTATCAGGTTCAAAGTTTTTTGTTTATGGTTGTCATAGTAATATCGATTTTACTAAAACCTATATTTTGATAAAGTTCAATCTATAGTCAATCATTGGTGATAATTTTACAGCGATCAGACAAGGATAAAATCACTTTTCAAGCAATTGAAAAATATTGGTATGGCCTCTGAAAAACTATATCGAAACACCTTAAGTCAATGAAGTAACTAGAACAACTAAATTTGAAGTTGATTAGTCGAATATTGAGCTCATCTCATTTTTTGTTTCAACATCGCACTCTTCAATTGAAGAATTAAACATTCAAACCAGACCTCGATTCAAAACCCGAATACTGTTCGTAAACTCTTCTCTGCTGCTTTCTTTTCCCGCCACATTGATTCATTTAGATTGACTTCTTGAACTTTCCCGCTTCAAAGAACGATGCCACGTTAATCCAGTAAGAATTCAATTCTTTAATCGAAGGTTGTTTTGAATTTTCAATTCTTCGAATGAAGGGCGCGATCTTGAACTAATAATAGACACAATATTGAAATAATCAAGGTCAAATATTATTCTTTCGTAAAAACGCTTGATTGGATTTCACTAAAATGAGTCACTTCAACTGTACGGTGTAGAAGTCGTGTGACCTAGGACGCGATTTCGTAAGCTAAAATTTGAAACCCCGATATTGCAAATGTCAGAAAGTTTGAACTTCATAACTCAGCAACATGGTCTACATTCATTCTCATATTTCTCTGCGGCCGAAGGGAACAAGTTGAAGCTCCAGCTGAGATAACACGTCTCAAGTCGGAATCGTTGTCTGAGCGAATTACACCGTTTGTGTCCTAGAAATTGCGAACTGTTGGTAAGTAGCTTAATAGTGATGTTTCAAATAAATCAAAACAAATTCACCTAAGCAATCTTCAAAAGCATCTTCTAAGCATCTTCAAAATGTGGTAAGCGCGAGCTGGTTATGACGAATTATCCGGGGGATTAAAGCCATTCAGAAACGGAGAAAGAATAATAATATTGGATAATTCCCGAGAGTTCAGCTCATCTTCGTCTTTGCCTTAGGTCAATAATTTTTCTTCAGTTTAATTCGTGAGGTAAGTATGGGAGGAAAAAAAAAGAAATCTTTAGTTCAACATTTTTATGATGTGAGATAAATGACTTGAACTTGAAGAGGAAAGTATATAATTTCGTTTTTTCCAGGCTATTGCTGAACTTTATTTAAACCGTTCTCATAAAAGAATAAGCTTTATGTTTTGCTAATCATATTTCTTGCTTTAATCGTTCTCGTAGACTGAGCGGTGGCATTTTCATTCGTGTCGACGATCAGCGACGGGGGACTTCGAAAGATTTATAGTGTTCTTTACTGCAGTGCTTATAACCTTCGTGTGAATTAGTTCTTTTTAACCAAAAATGAGAAAAGTAAAATTGCATTTTGTTCGCCCACGAAGCACTTAGGAGTTCCTATGAACTCGCTTAAACGTGTCCGCGTGCGTTCCAGATCGAATTGGAATTTGGAAGTGTTGATTTTTGAGGAGAGGGAAAAACCGGAGAAAAACCTCTCGGAGCAAAGGAGAGAACCAACAACAAACTCAACCCCTCATATGGAACCCGGTCCACTGTGGTGGGAGACGCCACCCTTGCTCCCCCAAATCAGTCTGTTAAACATGTTGAAAGATGATAATTCTTGCGTTTATTTTGTTGTAAGTTGTTTTGCTCACTACCTTACTTGCTTCAGCAGTACCATTCAGTTGAAATAATAAGTTTAAAAAGGGGAGTTAAACAGCTGTTTAACTATCAAAACCTGAAAAATCTTACCTTGAAATGTGTTATCCCGAAATAAGACGTCTTTAAGAGGTTTTGGAAATCAATTTTCCTGTCATTATACTCGGCGTTGTGTACAGTTGGCGCTTCATCTGGTACTGATACAAAGTCATTAGAGTTTGCTAATAATAATCTCAGGAAAGGTGATATTGGGGAATATGACGTAGTCCTGGACCATATCTGTAACCACCTGAGTAACTATACTAACAGCAAAAATAGCAGAGGTACAAATGACTTCGCAATGGCTATTGCAATGTTTAATGTCTAATGACTTCGTAATGTTTAACTATTGCAATGTTTAACTTTCATTTTTGTCATTTTAATGACAGAAGTCAGACAAACATGACATTTTAATGACAAAAGGCAAAAAACTTGAGAATTCGCTAATGTTAAATTTCAATTTGTTTGTCTTAGTTTCAATTCTATAAATAGCAACTGTGCGCAGCGCTGTTAGGTAATACAAGATGAGAAAATGCAGATATTAAACATCATTGAACTAATATAGATTACATAACCATGAAATTTCAAGGTAAGATACGTGTGCAACAGCCAAAGTAGGAAAGCTTTCGATTGAAAATAAGGAAAGTTAAAGAAAAAACCAAGAATAAATTAATACTGCGAACTAATACGTTGGATGAAACAGGAGTTATGAAAGCATAAATGAAAATATGATAGGGTACTATTAGTAAAACTACCATGCATTAAACAATCTGAGTATTGCCAGATTTTCCACAAACAGGTAGAGAAAATTGGGTTTCAATTATATTTGAGAAAATAAAGGAACTATGGCTGATATGATTTGCAGGCTTCCTGTGCTAAGGTAACTTTGTCACTGTTGGTCCATATTCAGTTTTGGTCGGTGAAATTGCTCTTAGATGCTAATGTGAGTCATAAGGGTGCTATGAAACAGTGTTAGGAATACTGGAAGACTGATGACTATCTTATATGAAAACACACATGGATTCAGTTTCACAATCGCACTCTTTCTAATTTTAAGAATATCACGGAGTTTATCAAAAACTTGGAATGACGAACTCTGCTACCAACGGATCCCGGAGAACATACAGCAAATGCATTATATAACTCTTTAGGTTAGATGACTATATGTATTTCCCAAAGCTACAACCGCACAATTTAAACAAGGCTATATGAGTGTTTAAGTATTTTTATGCCAACATAGCTTCTTAATTGATTCATATTCGAATATTTTTAGCTATCTTGTTTTTAATGTGGCTAACTTGATCTTTCTAAGTTAAATGACCGATGTACTAGATAAACTTCAGTATACCTTATGCACGTTTTCCTCTCAAAACTAAAAATACTTGTTAGAGGAACTTTTTTCGTGGATGAAGTTATGTAATATGAAGTTAGTCTTTTTCATGTTTATTAGCAGCACAATAATTGGGGACTCTAGCCATCTCACAATACATAACTGATTCAACGTCATGTAATGTCATCCGAAGAAGATGATGTTGACATCATCAATAATTCGGTGGAAAATTAGCGATGTCATTGATACTGATAAATCAAAATATTAGGGGGTCTAAGGTAGATCAAGAAGTTTTCTATAATTGACGCGTCTGTGATAACCAATTTATTGCTTAACAATAATAATAATAATAATAATAATAACAGAGAATGTGGCATATGAAAACCGTTGTGATCCCTGTGGTTGTTGGTGCGCTTGGTACAATGAAGAAGGGCATGGTAGAAAAACATCAAGAAAGTATCAGAGAGAGCTACTGTGACAGTGATCCAAAAGATCTGCATGCTTGGATCTGCACGAATCCTCAGAAAGGTGGTTAGTGTATGAACAGAATGATTGACTTGAGTGACTGATGCTCCAGGTGCATGGTTTGCGCTCGGCTGATGCACAAAAAGAACCCCAGCAAAGGCTGTGATAGAAGAGACAATAATAATGATACTCACTGATTCGGGACTCAAAATCCTCCAAAAAAAGGCAAGGCATTCCGTAGCTCCCTCTGAGAAATTT